AAAAAAAAAAAAAAAAAACCTCATTACCTTATTATAATTAGGAAACAGTAATTTCTTTGCACAAAATAATTAATGTTTGTACCTGTAAATTTCTTTTTAATGGCATCTTTAGAGCTAGCATAAATCATCTTGCTTTTTAATGGTGCACTTTCAGGAGCCCTACAGAAAAAAAAATTGTTGAATCTCACTTATTAGAAAAACAAAGGCAAAACTGACCATGATAATATTCCTTGCATTTTAAAAGTACTTTTTTCTTTTGTTTTTACACACCAGAATATAAATACTAGGTCTTCTTTCTTAGACTCTTTTGTTTCGTATGTGGCATCGTACAAAGCATATCGGCAATCATTCAGAGGTAGCAACTTCACAAAAGATGTGTAGGGGTCCTCTACAGTATCACCAATGTCACCCACCAAGATCTGCTTTGCTTCCTCTACAATTATTTGTCTTTTGTCATCACTTAAACAGAAGAGAACTGCTTTCTTTCGCTTTTTGATCTCCTCTTGGGTAGAAGATTTCCTTACTTTCATATCATTAAAAACTTTGATGACTTCATCATTCACTGTAACTCCAGATGCCTGAAAATAAAGAACAGAAATTCAGAACAAGTATTTTGGTCTTACCCACAATTACTGTTTGCCTAGAAGATTCACTTTAGTCTTGATGTTAAAAATTGTAGGAATCTATGCAAGTAATTCTAACCGATCTGTCACATATTAAAGTATCCGTAAATAACACACCTAAGGATTCTAATTCATCCTGCCCATTCATCCTTTTTAAAGGACAGTGCCGAAAAGAGCAAATGGAAGGTGGATCGAAGGGAATACAAGTTGTCCCATTCCTGAAATGTTTCCTATTTCACTGGGTGATGTCAGAGCTTCAGGAACAGAAGCAAAAATACCTTCTGTATTGTGTCAACTCTGCGGGCCGTAAAAAACATTTTGGATTTCAGTGAATGCTTCTACTATTTTTTTCTTTAAAGTCATCCTCGCCACCGCTGTTTCCTCATAAGGAAAGAGAACCGAGCGTACACTCCAGCCGCCCACGGCTACAACATAATTACCCGTGCCGCTCACAGGGAGGCTCTTCAAAACTAACGGATCGGGTGGAAAAGCTGTTGGCCGCGGGGAAGCTTTTTTAAGAGTTGTTCTACCTCCTTAATCTTCTCGTTCGAGTTTTATTACAGGACGTCTAGACCCTGACCAGAAGCCCAAAGCGCACAGCAATTTTAGAGGGCGCGTGTCACGGAAAACGAAAAAGCTAAGGACAAACGCGGCACGCGCCGGGCATCACCTCGCCGACCTGCCCGCGCCCCGGCGCCCGTCCGCCCCCGACCAGCGC